CCCCCCCCCCGACCCCGTCCTCTCCCCCCAACACTGCCGGAGTCGCATTGTGCCATGCCCCTCTCTCTCCCGCCCCTCCCCGGCCCCGCCAGCCACCCAGGACGCCCCGGGACCCTGTCCCCAGGGCACGGCCGGCATCCACCTCCGGGGAGGCTCACGGGGCTGCCTCACGCCACATGCCACATGCCCAGCCCTGCCACCGCCCTCCTCCAGCACATTCCAACTTTCTATTTAAAAAGTCGAGCTATCCACTGATGCCCTCTTTTTCTATGGAGAACGTTGCCTTATACTCTACTTCAGATGATGAACACTGTGTATTGTGTGTGCTTTAAAGTTTTATTTAATTGCTCCCTTCTTCCTGTCCTTGTTACTTGCCTCCCCCACGCCTGCTTCAGTTGAGGGTTTGGGGGGCCATGAGGAGCGTCGGGGTTTTCTCTCTCTCTAGCAGTTTTCTTTTCTAAAGGACACAGCATTTCAACTCAAATCTGGATTCAGATGAAAACACCTCCACCTCCTGATCCTCTGCCCTCAACCCGCCCTGACCGGCCCCAGCCCTACTTGTGTATAGTGTATATTGTATAATAGACAATTGTGTCTACTACATGTTTAAAAACATATTGCTTGTTATTTTTGAGGCTTTTAAATTAAACAAAAATCCAACTTTATTTTTAGTTGTAACTGCTTGAGGTATGTTTTATGAATTAAGTGACAGATTTGTTATCCTTTATTAACGATGTACTTTGTTGGTCAGCACTGGGCTGACAAAAATTTTTTCTTGCTAATAAATTTAGTTGCCTGAGGCAAAATCTGCAACTTGGCAGGTGCAGCTTCTTTGATCTTTTACCACAGAGAGCTTGGGGGGCAGCGGGGGGGCCTCCAGAGGAGGGAGCCGTGGCTTCTCACAGCAGTCCACGCTGGGACCCAGGCAGGACCTGCCCTCCCGGCCTGAGCAAATCCAGGCCGCAGCCTGAAAGGGACCGCGGCCACACGGACCTCCTAGCGTTGGCATGCAGCCCAACAGCAGCCGGGTGGGACCTCGGGGCAGGGCCTAGTGTAGGTGTTCCCGCTTCCAGAAGCCAGCTTTGCGGGAATCAAAGCTGGCATGCTCTGCCTGCAGACTCGAGTCACAGCAATGCCTTCCTTATCAGCGGGCGAGTTCCTTCCACTCCCCCGTCTCGAGAGGAAGGCTTTGGCCTCAGAACGTGTTAGTAGGAACTGTTACTATGGGGGAGAGAGCTTAGTCCCTGGGGATCTTGGCTTTGTCCCTTCCCAGAGGCTAAAGGGTCTGGAGAAAAGGCAATTTCTTAAGGGCCAAGATCCCTTTCCAGGGCTGGGACCCCAGCTTTACTCAAGAGAGGACCCTGGCCACACATTCCATTTTTCCTCCGTTCCCCGCCCCAGCACCCCAGAGAGGACAGCGGGTTGATTTTGGTTTTAACAAGGGCTGCAGCTCTGAAATTCTGGTGGGGATCTTGGGGGAGCAGAGCTGTGAGGAGGACAGCAGGGCACATGTTTAAACCTAGCAGGGGCCAGAAGAGCATCCGGGCTGAAGGGAGAGGTGAGTCACATAGACAACAGCATGTGCTTTCCTTTCAACAACGACCTCTTAACGCTCACAGGGACACAGCCAGGGATCTATTTTGCAGGAGTGGCAAGGCTCTTTTTTTTTTTTTTTTTTTTTTTTTTTTTTTTTTTTTTTTTTTTTTGAGCTATCCATTCCCTCACTCTGTTTCCTTTGTCACTGGTGGCCTGCATTTGCAAGCAGATAGCTTTTACTCAGAGCCAATCCACCCTCACGTCGGAAGAAATAACAAGGATATGATCTCAGACGGATCATGGGTTCTCTGCCCCTGACCACTGTACACAAACCCTTTGGGTGAAACCAGACCTGAATGTGCTCTGGCACAGAAGCCTCTCGACCAGCCCCCATCACTCCTGTATCTCATCGCTGCACTGGCAGGAGGAAGACGCGAGGTGGTTTCTCTCACTCACGTGTGGGTCACAAGGCTGGAAAAAATGTCTGGCTGTGTTCTGAACTGGGATTGGTGGAGAGAAGGGGATTACTAATAAAGTGGCCACTTTCTGCCACATTCCCCCCCACCCCCCCTTAGCTTTGCTCTTAGTCACAAAGAATTCTCCTTTCCTGGGAGTTGATTCCAAGCCATAGGCTTAATGCTTCATGCGCAGAAACTGACCCAACTCCCGGGCATCCTTTGGAAGTGAGGGTGCCAGCCCCCGGCGGGCAAAACTGCCTTTTGGCACTCGGGATTTCCCTTCTTCAGGGAGATACTCAGGTTCCACAGTCAGGCCTCACTATCTCTGCTTCCCATGGGATGCCTGAGTCAGATGGGGAGTGGGAGAGTGCTCTCTGCCCAGTGTGGGTGATGGCGTAAGGAAAGAACAGAAGGACCTGGTGGCAAGTTAGCCCTCATCTGCCTTAGTTTACTGGAGAGTTGCAGGGGGCAGGGTCTGTGGATGCCGTGATGTAGCCCAAGCTCACCCCAGGGCACCTGATAGGCCCTGGTGGAAAATCTGGGGGCAGGCCACCCCCAGCAGCTCAAGAGTATGGGTCACGCTGCCCAAGTTCCCTCCTCTGCCCCCTTCCCTCCTCAAGGTCGTTGGCATCAAGTCCCCCCCTCACTGCCCCCCTCCCTTCTGCTCAGTGATGCTCAACACTGGGGCTCTTTGATCCCAGGTACTAGGATTACAGGCCTGGAAGGAAAGGGGACTGGGTCCCTCCTTTCTGAGACCCTCCTTCCTAAAGGCAAATCCAGGCAAAATACCTTAAAAACAAACAAAGAAAACAAAAAACAAAAAACCCAACTAAGCCAGCAAATAGAGCTCAGGCTTTCTCCAAACCTCAGTCCATCTTTACAATCACCTTCTGAAGGCCCTTTGAGGCCCCCCGCTGGAGAATGACCGAGAGCCACCTGCAGCCTCTCGGGTCCCTGTACCCACTGGGGGCTCATGGCTGATGGAATGCGGCTGTGGTCTACACGGTGGTGGATTCCAGGAACCCTAATTCCGTGATTCACTGCCTTGGGAGACCTCTTGTGACCTGACCAAGGTCTTCGGGGTTGGGGGGAAGTCACTAAAGGAAGTGCAGTCATGTCGGTACAAGTGGCAACTAGGTTTCCTAGTGAAGGAGCGGAGGAGGGAAAGGAGGAGGCGGGAAGCGAGCCTGGGAAAATGGACTCCAGAACAGGGACGGGCAAACCACAGTGGGTAGGGCAGAGGATCAGGGCTTGAGGAGGAGAGTCAAACACTTGTTCATCGCCATTCTGGGCGGGAGGAAATGAGAAGTGACCACAGGTCAGGCCAAAAGCAAGGACCAACCAGCACTTCTCAAATGAAACTAAGAAGCCACCAGGTCATATTCCTTTGGGCCTGCCTGGGAACCCACCATCAGGCCCCCTCCCTCTGCCTGTGGCCCACAGTCCAATGACCAAGGGAGCCAGGGCTGATGCCCTAAGCCTAAGCCTTGGAAAGCTTAACATCCCTCCAGGCAACGAAAGCACTTGGCCCTGCTCCCACCAGGCGCAAAACCCCCCAATGTCCCCCCCCCCGCCCCGCCATGCCTAGCACCCAGGTACAGAGAAGCTTCACAAAGGCAGTTTATGCACAAACATTACAGAAGAGCGTTTCCTGGCTGCGACCGAGCAGGAGCCAGAGACAGTAAGGGATGTGGTCCCTCCCACGAAGGCGCTTCTGATGAGGCCTGGGGCTGCCCATGAATGGACGTGTTTGGGAAGTGACCCATGAGCACACGCAAGGGTTGTGAGGAGTTAGCCACACAACCACGGGCAGGACACTAGGGTAAGGGACAGCCTCCTCTCCAACCCACTGCAAGCCTCTGACGACCCGGCTCCCATCTAGGCCCCCCAGTGACCACACTACTCAGGGCTCAGGTATCTGCTGGCTGAGTACCAAGTACCCACCCTCCTGTGTGTCCTCAGTGCACCCCAAGGCTGGACCCAAGAGTGCCTGAGCTTAGGGCCCCCAGCGCACCCCATTTGGCCTGCCATCGGACTCCTGGAAGGCTGGGCGCTACATTTTACCGCATCACGGCCACCTTCTTGGGCCTCCCACCTCCCGCCGTCCTCCTTAATTCTCCCAGGCCCTCTTCCCTTCTCAGACATTCTCATCCTCCCCCATGGCCTCAGATACCACCTCGGCGGCTCATGACGCCTAACCCAGTCTCATCAGCCTAGACCTCCCCCCTAAGCTCCAGACATGATTATCCAACCTGGCCAAACATCGGTGTCCCATAAACCCTCACGCTCCATGGGTCTGACTGGCTTCATTTTTCCCCCAAAACCTCCTCCTCCAATATGCCCCACTTCAATGAACAGCACCACCCATGTTTTCTAAAGTTATCATGGTGGGTGGATTCCCTCCCCTCCGGCGGCGCCCCAGACTCCGACACCAGGCTCCCGGCTCCCAGCTTCTCCTTAGACAACACTGCCGAATCTCTCAACGTTTCCCTGTCACTGCCTCGCCCTCCCTTACCCACCACCCACTCGGTCACCAGAGTCAGGTCCCCAAACACAATCACTGAGGTCCAAGTGAAATATATAATTCAACCAAACAATTAGACTACAAGGTGACATAAGGACATAAATGCAAAAGCCCTGGAAGAAAACAGGCGAGGCACAGTCCCCAAACCCGTACCCAGTCCTTTGTTTCATGTTGAGAAACCAGTGTGCCTCCTCCGTACAGTGAAATATTACAATACGTTCTCTTTTCATTTAAGACTCTCCCGAGGAAAGATTAATAATTTTACAAAGTTGGGGGAGGCAGGAGGGTGGCAAAGTGTTTAAGAAAAAGCAGTAACCATAAAAAATTCATTTCTCCCACGCAGACAAAACCCCTGCTGGGGTTTCGGCAATAGCAGCAAGGCCGGCCCCTCTCCAGTTTGCGCTGCAGGGCTGTTTTCTGATCCAGACACCAAATCCCACTAGGCAGAAAAGCACAACACAAGCCTGCTTGTTATTTTCAAGACGGAAGGGAAAATCTAAAAAGGCAACCAGTTGCAAACTTCCTGCCTAATCGCCAAGGATGGGAGAGGCTGCTGGAATCTAGTACTTTTTCTCTCCATCTGGTCTTAAAAAACAGAAATTAGACACTCTGGTTCAACAAGAGCAAGAAGGATTAAAAAAAAAAAAAAAAAAAAAAAAGAATTGCTGTCTAAAAGCCTGACCCTTTCCACTGCCTGATCTTCAGCAGGTGCACGAGCCCTGCCTACTTGTCCAGCCTGTTCCTCACCATCTTGCTCTAGGAGAATCACCTGTTTGTTCCACATTTCCCTAACACTGTGCCTTTACCCACATCGTTCCCTCTTCCCGACATGCCCGTTCCATTGTCTATCTGGCAAACACTTACTCAGTAAGACAAATCAAATGTCTGCTCCCTTTACGAAGCCTTTCTGACTGACCCCTGGAGACCACTTTCTTCTTTCTGCTCCCCTTTACCTCACAGAGATAACTGTTAAAGTACCTGTAACTCATCAGCCTTTAGATCTGCTTCCCCCTATAAACCACAAACCCCCTGTGGGCAGGAAGCATGTCACTTTCTTCATCTCAGTATTCTCAGACCTAGCTCAGTGCCTGATCCAAAAGAGGTCTTTAACCAAATGTCTACTGAATGAATAAATATCTATACTGAGCTCTTGGCTCTTAAGCAAACCATTCAGATGATCCTAGTCTTGTCCCAGAGTCCCAGGTCCAGGGTAACATAGCCCAGGAGTGCTAAGAGTGGGGCCCCATGAACAAAACCATCTAAGTTGAAGGGTGCTAATGACCACTTTACACAAGTTCAAGTGCATGCACTTGGAAGGAGCGGAGAACAGCAACGTTCACAGGTGGGAAGACAACCTCAACAAGAAAGTAAGTCCAGTCAACTCCCTCAGTCATGTTGATGGAGGAAAACGATGTAGCAAAAATTTCCAACCAGCGGAGAATCCATCGATCAACATCATTAGGATTTGAGACATGTATTATTTCATTGCAGTAAATTGGTCTTCTAGATTCCATTTGGCTCAAGCTACAACCATATAATAAAAGATGATAGGTATCTAATGTTGGGCTTTATGAAGCATCACACTTAGTAATGCAGACACCTGGGTAGGGCAGGAAGTTCCCCTTACCTGGCACAGTCCTGGGGTGCCTGCCTAGATGGCTCTGGCAGCTCCCCTTCCTGATGTTGGTGGAAACCAGGACTACTGAGAGGACTTGACCCAAGGCTGCCCCAGCCAGGTCAAAGCCGGAATGGGTACTGGTAGGTTTTTCCATTTCTCAGCCCTGTGTCCACAGCCTGGAAGTGGCTTTGCACAGTCATTTGCTCCCCTGTGCCCCCAGTTATGGCTGGCATTGACATAGGAACTAGACTCCAACTGCCTAGGAAGGGCAAAATGTGAAGAAGGGAGAAACTTGGCTAAGAGGAGGGAGGCCCAGGAGGGGTGGGGCTGTGGTAACCTTTCCATCTAGCAGAACACTGACTAGTGCGAACTCCACTGCATGAAAGGAGAAACCATGAGCACCATGAAAGGAGAACCCAGGGTTCAGAGCTGGACAGGGAAGATGGCTCTGGTCTGGGATGGCTTGATCCCAAATGTCTCTCTTCCTGCCTTTCCATTCAGCAGTCTTCCTTCCCACCCCACAGCCTCTTCCTGACCCCACTGCATCTCCCCAGACTCCAGAGAACCCCACTCCCACCCCACCCCTGCCCCCCTCCCTGCCCCATAAATACAATCAGGCACAATACACAGTATCCATCCTGTGCGACCCACAACTCACTTCAACCTCTCCCACCCAATTTCTCCTCCTAACTAAATTGCCCCTCCTGTGTCTCCCTATCACCTGGCCTCAGAGTCTGGCCCCTAACTCCGTTTTCCATTTGTCCTTTCCCTGCCCCACCAGCTTCCCTCCAGGGGCTACTTCCTGCACTAGGCTTGCCTCCAGGCACCTGCTAGGAGCCAGCCATTTAACACTGACCACTCCCTGTAAGCCCCCAGTGACTCATTCCCCGCTCCCAGCCTGGGCTGCTGCCGTCCCTGTACCTTTAACAAACCTCCACGTGCATGTTAACGGCGGTGACAGCATTTCCTTGTGTCTCTGCTCCCGCCCCCGGAGGCGCCGCCCATTGGCTGCTGGGTTCTTCTGCTCTCGCTCTAATTGGCCTCGCTCCCGCAAAACTCCAACCAATGGCCTCTCGGCGCCTGTCTCCCTCCTCCGACCCTGAGCGCCCATTGGCTCTGGGGACTTAGTACCTGTTAGCCGGACTTGGCAACTGGAGAATTCTTCCTTCCCCCGGGTAAAGTCCCATGCTGAGAAATTGGTTCCGAACCCAACGGAACCTGGCGCCGGGCGACGCCGGGTCACGTGGCTGGCGGCCTCATGACGTGCGGGCTGCGAGGCGTCACCGCAACGTTCGGGCAACCTACCGAGCGGCTCCTACCTCCACCACCTGTGCGGTGGCGGTGTCGTCATGGACCTGGGACCGATGCGCAAGAGTTACCGCGGGGACCGAGAGGTGCGGCCGCCGCCGGGCAGGGCCTCCCGCAGGGAGGGGTCCCCGCGTCATCCCCCGAGGGGAGGGGAGTTTGGGGTCACCCGCGTAGGAGAAGGGTGTTCAAAGACAACCAACAGGGGGCAGGGCTCTGGGGAAACAAGGATGAAAAGAGGCAGCAGGTCACAGTGTGTACGCGCGCGGGCTCTGGGGGCGGCCCTGGCTGGGATCCTGCCATTCACGAGGTGCATCTCCTTGGGCGATAACTTAACCCCTCTGGGCCTCAGAATTTCCTCACCTGGGAATTGAGTACCTTACTCAGGGATGTTGTGGACTTTGATATTTGCAAAGTGCTTAGAACAGTGATAATCAGCTTCTAAATATTTGATAAGTGACACATGGACGAGGGGTACTGACTCAAGGAGGTGGGGAAGAGAAAGCTCCAGCTCTCACTCACTGCCTGATTCAGCCCCTTCCCTTACCATTTCCAGAAGTTCTTTTGCTTTTTCCTCCTGAGAGGAGGATCCAACAGAACTGCTTAGGAATTGAGGCCAGAGCCACCGTTTCTAAATCTGGTTGTGTGTGCGCATTTCCAGAAGTACTTGTTAAACATTTTGTTAAGCAGTTTTTCCTTAAACCTCAGACCTACTGAGAATTTGGGGGGGCGGAGCCCAGGAATGTGGTTTTTTTAATGCTCCCCGGGTGATAGGTTTGACACCCTAATTCATCGATCACTAGCTATGGGACTTGGCAACTTATGCCATGTGTTTATGCCTCTGTCCTCGCCTGTAAAATAGGACTAGCAGAACACGGGTGCTGTTTTTTGTTTTAATGAAAACTGCCCGGAACAGTACCAGGTACACAGTAAGCGTTGTATGTGTTTATTAAATAAAACTCTCCTTTCTCAGGCATTTGAGGAGACTCAGCTGACCTCCCTGGACCCCGTGAAGCAGTTTGCTGCCTGGTTTGAGGAGGCTGTTGAGTGTCCTGACATAGGGGAAGCCAATGCCATGTGCCTGGCTACATGTACCAGGTAGGCATAGCTGTGGGCCCATCTGTGAGTGGGTACAGATGAAGCAGGAAACTTAGGAAACTCTCAACTTAATGGAATGCAAGCTTATGTTATAGCTATGTTATTAGCATGCTGGGTGGCCTCAGGCATGTTACTTGTCCTCTCTGGGCCTCCGTGCCCTTACCTGTAAATGAAGATCACACTTCACCTAATTCCATTTCAGTAATAAATGTACTGCCTCGTTTATCTCTGCTCTTAACGCACCTCCCCCCAGCACCTCTGTCTTTCTCATCCCTATTTACCCAGTTCCCATCTGCCCTTTAAGAGCTACATCTCCTGGGGGGCACCTGGGTGGCTCAGTCAGGCTTCTAGCTTCAGCTCAGGTCATGATCTCACGGTTTGTGAGTTTGAGTCCCGCATTGGGCTCTCTGCTGTCAGCGTAGACCCCACTTCAGATCCTCTGTCCCCCTCTCTTTCTGCCCTGCGCATGCACTCTTTCCCTCGTTTGCTCACTCTCAAAAATAAACATTAAAAAACAAAACAGTTACATCTCCTGGAACCTCTCCATAAAGCTCCCTCCCTCTTCTGAAAGCTAGCACAGTGCTTGGTTGTATTATTTATTTAACAATCAGTCATATACCCCACGAGACACCTCTTGTATTAGCCTGTTATTCAACTCTTCCTTTCTCCCCTCTATCAAAGTGTAAGGCCTTAAAGACAGGGCTCTTGTTCTGTGCCCCTGGATGTCCCCCAGAGCTCTGAGCAGAGACCCTGGTATAACCACCTTTACTGTGATCACTAAGCATTGGCTGACTGCAGTATTGCTGGAGTCCGCTAGGACTGCTATGATAAAATACCACAGACTGATAGGCCTAACCAACAGAGATTTTATTTTCTCACAGTTCTGAAAGCCAGAAGCCCAAAATCAAGGTGCTGTCAGAATTGGTTCCTAATGAGTCCTCTCTGGCTTGTAGATGGCCGCCTTTTTGCCGTGTCCTCACATGGCCTTTCCTTTGTGCATGCAGGGAAAGGAAGGGAGAGAGAGAGATCTTTCTGGTATCTCTTCCTCTTCTCATAAGGACACCAGACCTATTGAAATTAGTCTCCCCTTTATGACCTCATTTAACTTTAATTACCTCCCTCAAAGCCCTATCTCCAAATATAGTCACATTGGGGGTTAAGGATATGGGGGGGACTCAGGGGAACACAGTTCAGTCCATAACAGGCCCCAGGCAGTGATGTCATACTTACACCTCTAGGATAAATCCCCGAGGGCAAGTGGGAATGGGTAGCCTGTGTGCCCTGACAGTGCAGAATAAGGGGGCACAGGTGGGGGGTGCTCAGGGGAGCATCTGTGGGGAGGGGTGGTAGCAGGGACTGTGAAATGGGCTCTGATCACATGCTCTGATCTTTGCCCCAGAGACGGAAAACCCTCTGCCCGCATGGTGCTGCTGAAGGGCTTTGGCAAGGATGGCTTCCGTTTCTTCACTAACTTCGAGAGTCGAAAGGGAAAAGAGCTGGTGAGGGTTCACAGTAAATCCTCCCGGGCCTGCAGGGTCCAGCCCTCGCTTCCTCCGTCGCTTTCATATGCCATCCCTGCTCCAACCCACTTGCTGTCTGTGGTTAGGCACCGTCCTGCCTGTGGGCCTTTGCACTTGTCCTTCTCTTTGCCGGGAATGAGGGCTGCCTCTGACCATCCCTGTCATCTGTTTACCTAACTACCTAAGTCCCTCCTGTCCCTTCGGCTCTCAGACCCAGGAAAGTCCTCCTCAGTTCCTGTGCTACATCAGTCACTGTTCACTGTCGTTATAACTTGTAGCTTTACTTTCTGCCCTTTTTCCAGTTTATAATTGTGGGTTTATTTATGTGGTCGTGTGATTTGTATTTGTCTCCTCTGCTAAACCCCCAGTAAGCTCTGTGGGGACAGAGGCTGCATCTGTTGTTTCTGTTATTCCCACCACCACCACCCCCAGCACCTCTCCTGACGTCAAGCCTAGACCTGATACTCTGTGTGCATGCTACTCATGAATCCAAAGAAGTAGCCCTCCCTGAGTCCATGCCAGCCCCAAATGCATTTCTGAGGACTTGCCAATCTATGGATTAGAGACCTGGCAAGCCTCGCTTTGGAGTCCACATGGCTTTGGTTCTCAGCATAGCTCTACCACTTACTGTGTGAACTTGGGCATGTTACTTAACCTCTCTGAGTCTATCTCCACACCTGTAAAAGTAGGCACACCTTTGAGGGTTTCAATGAGATGCTGTAGTGAATGCATCCGCTGGGGGCCTGCGTGCTACAGACTTCCTGCCTTCTTTCTGCATGGCGGAGGTGTCCTCCCTGCTGTTCTGCTGGCTGACTGTGAATTCTCTTTCATTTTCAGGACTCCAATCCCTTTGCTTCTCTTGTCTTCTATTGGGAGCCTCTCAACCGTCAGGTGAGTGAGCATTCCCAGGACAGCCTGGGGCTTGTGATGGATGAGCCCCGTGGAGGTCCCCAGGCCAGGCAAACATCCCACCTCTCAAATACCTCTCAGGGAGCTGGTCTACTTGGGGTCAGCAGTGATGGGCCGGTGGGTAAGGAGAAGAGAGAGGAAGGAGGCCTGTGTTGGTAGGGAGGGCGGGTGGTATTGAATGCTGTCTAGCCAGGGCCATGCCTGAGCAGGTGCGTGTGGAGGGCTCCGTGAAGAAGCTGCCTGAGGAGGAGGCTGAGTGCTACTTCCACTCCCGCCCCAAGAGCAGCCAGATCGGGGCCGTGGTCAGTCACCAGAGTTCTGTGATCCCCGATCGGGAGGTGAGTTGGGCCCCTCCTTAGTTCTCCGGGTGGCAGGGGCCTTCGCTCCTCCCCAGCAGCTGTCTCCGGGGGATGCCAGGGCCCTCCCTCTTTAGCAGAATGAAAAGATGGTCTTCCTGGGGAAGTAAGGATGAGTAGTGGGGAAACTGGCTTCCTTCGTCTGACCCTCCAGTTGGACTGTGCTCCCAGAGGCCAGCCTGCCTTGATTACCTGTGTCCCCCGTGCCTGGCACACAGCACGTGCTTAGTTAAATCGTTAGTAAGTGGTCTGGGCCTTCCTCCATTTCCTTCCCCTGGACAGTATCTGAGAAAGAAAAACGAGGAACTGGAACAGCTCTACCAAGAGCAAGAGGTGCCAAAGCCAAAATACTGGTGAGTGATACCTGCTGGTCCTTCAGCAAGGGGCACCAGAACCCTCATGTTTACTCACAACCACCTTATCTGTGGAATTACAGATCTATTTCCCCCTGGTAATCCTCCTCAGATGCATCCCAGCAACTTCCTTCAAGGGGCCCTGGGATGGGGACTCGGGACGGGGGGCCCTGGGATGGGGACCTGCTGGAAAAACGCACAGAGCACGAACCCGCTGCTTCTCCTTGAAGGGGTGGCTACATCCTGTACCCACAAGTGATGGAGTTCTGGCAAGGCCAAACCAACCGCCTGCATGACCGGATCATCTTTCGGCGGGGCCTGCCAACAGGAGACTGCCCTTTGGGGCCCATGACCCACCTTGGGGAGGAAGACTGGCTCTACGAGAGACTTGCACCCTGACTTCCAATCTGTTCGTGCCGACCAGAGCTGAGGCCGAGTGCTAAGAGAGGGTGTGGGGTCTGGAGCCCAGACCCTTCTAAACTCAACCCATTTCCCTCCCTACCCCTTATATTTAAGGCTCTCCAGAGTTCAAGCTCCAAATTCTGTATTTTCAGTTGGCTTTCAAGTAGGTGGTCTAGTAGAGTGGATAGACATTTACAAATGGGAAAAAAAGAAATCCCACAATTATGTTCTTGACCTTGAATGTGATTTATTGGGAGAGTTCCCTCAAGAGGTAATAGCTGGTGTGATTCCCTTTTTCTGGTGACCCTGAGAGGGCCCCCAGCTGCCCTGTTACCAGTGTGACTGAGCCATACTGCCCAAAGCGGATTGGTTCCAGCGTAAGCACCTGAGCCAGTCTAGCCAATCGTTTTTTTCTTGTCAACAATTTGAAATTTGAAATGAAGACATCCAGAGTCTGAGAGGCATTGTAGCCAAGTCGTTAATGGCAGCCAAGAAGATACAGCCTCCAGCTGCTGCTCTTGAAATTCCCTGAGTGACCTTGGATCCCTTCTCCCACCTCTGGGTTGTGCAATTCCTCCTCCCGCCTCAAAACACCCACTATCCTGTGGGGGGTGGGGGTGGGGGGAGGAGGAAAGGAAGAGGAAGGGAAGAGGAAGGGAAGGAAGGGAAGAAGGAAGTTAGGAAGGAAGTTGTTTGGCGCTTAAACTAGCTAGAATCAATTTCTGTTGCTTGCAACTAAAGGAGACTTAACTTATTTACTTGTGTACCCTACTGATAACTGCCTCCCATTATCTGAAGCACCACGATGTGGAAAATGGATTAAATTTATTCTCTGGAGCTCCAAAGGCACCATAAGTGGAAGTTGCACGGAAGTAGATTTCATCTCAATGTGAGGAGAGACTTCAAATAGCCAGGACTGCCTAAGATGGAGTGGACTACCTGTTAGGTCGCAAGTGTCTCTAGAAGTATTCAATCCCAGGTAGTCAGGAGTTTTATAGAAGGGATTCATGTGCTGGTACCTATCAGCCCGGCAGATTTCAAGCAAGCTTTACTTTCCATGCTTGTTTATGAGAATTATATCTGCGTGTATATATACATACATATATATATTTCATTTTCCAGATATAAAATTGTTATAGGGATTATACCTTTCTGACTACTCCTACATCCCCTTCACCTATCCCCCCCCACCCCACCTCTACTGATGATGACTCCTAGACACTGGTTTTCTTCCGTGCTGGAATTACTCAGGGAGCTTTAATCAGATGTGATTTAACTGGCCCGAGTGTGGTCGGAGCTTTGGGAAATTGAAAAGCTCCCCAGGGAATTCAATGTTGCCAAAAGTCGAGAGCCTCTGGTTTAGATCCTTGCCACTCACAGTGTGGTCCACAGACCAGCAGCAGCAATACCACTTGGGAGCCCCAGACTCGTGGATCCCATTCTACATTAAAAAAAAAAAATTTTTTTTTGACCTTTATTTTTGAGAGAGAGAGAGGTTGGGGGAGGGGCAGAGAGAGAGGGAGACACAGAATCTGAAGCAGGCTCCAGGCTCTGAGCTGTCAGCGCAGAGTCCAACTCGGGGCCTGAACCCACGAACCACGAGATTGTGGTCTGAGCCGAAGTCAGATGCTTAACCAACTGAGCCATCCAGGCGCCACCCCCCCCCCCCACTTTCTACATTTAACAAGACTGCTCCCCCCCCCCAGGTGACCCTGACCTCCAAACCAACGACCTCCCATCCTCACCACTGGATTCTTCATCAAGGCTGGGCTGAGGCCTGTGCTGAACTGTATTTACTTTTCCTGAGCTCAAGTATGGTGACCAATGACAACCTGAATGAATGGCTGTGGAGGGGAGCCAGGCTGGGTAAATGTTTGCTGTGACTAAGCCAGGACCAGAGATCTATTATCTGTGCACGTTGGCATTGAACTTGCCAACTCTGTGAACTGCTTCATTCCACTGTGTGGGTGTATGCCGCGCGTCAGGGTCACGAACCGGCTTCTCTAAGGGTGGCCCTCTCGGTGCTGGTCCCCCTCTGAAGCCTGAGTGCAGGCAGGCACAATGCTAACCCTGTGGCCACTGTAGGAGAGGGCGCTGGGGTGCATTTCTCTACTTTGCCTTGTTATTGGAAGCTGTGTATCCCCCCACCCCCACCCCCTAGGTGTGCGCCTGGTTTCAGCTGTTCCTTTCCTGTTCTTTGACAATCACTGTGCTAAGTCCGTAATAAAAGTTCATCAGCAGTGTGTGAGACGAATATGCAGCCTGGCCTGGCCTCATCCCCACCACCCCAGGGAAGAGGGGAGTTGGGGAATTTAAGCCACACCTCCTCTCCCCTAGAGGTTGGGCGGCCAGCAGGGGGAGCCCGCCACCCAGGGTTGGCCCCTTCTGGGCAGTGCAGGCCAGTTCTGGCCAGCCCCTCCTGCCTCCCCCTTCCCCGCCTTGGGTCGTGTCCCAGTGAAACTGTGGTCGATAACCCGTAGCCTCTTGCAGCTCCTGCACATATTTGCACTCTCGGTTCCTCCTCCTCCTCCGGCCTCGTGAAAGCTTGCAGCTGCCTCCCTCCGACTCCCTGGCCAGCCAGATTTCCCTTCGGCTTTTAGTATGCACCCACCACCTGCCCCCAACTTAGGGAAATATGTGGGGCTTCCCTGGAAGATTCCTGTGGACATCACTTTGGGGCTGGAGCAGGGTCTCCGGCACAAGGCAGAGGGGCCGTAGACCCTCTCTCCTAAGAGGGGTAATGGTGGCAATGCGGTGCCAGCATTGGGTAGAAGCAGGGCTTGGTGCCCCAGGGCCCAGCATCATCCCCAAGCCCCACCTCCCTCAAGGAACCTCAAGATGGGCTCAAGTGGCAGGTTCCTATAGTCCGGTGTCTCAGAAGACACTCAGCCTTGAAGGCGGTTAGCTTTCCCCCATTGGTGCCAGAATCGGGATTCCAAGCCCCAGACATTGCCCTCTCCTCTCCCAAGCAGATGAGAATCAAGAGTGGAAGGGGCTGTGTGCAGCAGTCATGTGCACAGGCCAGCCCCGGCTTCAGTCTCAGCTCTACTATTGCAAGCAAATGGCTTCACTTCTCTCCGCCTCAGCTAACTCAGCTGGAAAATGGGGAGGACAGCACCTGCCTCAGGTGATGAGGGGATTGAATGAGGAACCTCAGGGCCTGGCCCATTGTAAGCTCTGTGTAAACCTTGGCTATTCACAGTGGACAGGGCTAGAGTATGGGGGAAGTCAGCTCCTCCGTGGGACATTTTATGGATTAAGTAATTGGATGGACCCTAGAAAGTTCCATGTGGTGAGGATAGGGGAAGAGGCCTTGGGGAAGGCAGCACCTGAGTCAGCCTTCCTTCCCTTCCTCCGGCTCCTGGTGTCCCTCACTCATCCTCAGAACTCCCCCTGGCCTGGGTGAGGCCACCCAACAAAGGCCCCCTTGTATAGGTCTGTTTGTTTGGGTAATAAATTTCCCTGAGCCACACTCCCTGGGGTGGAGTGGCCCAACAGCCTGCAAGCAACTGACCTGGAAGCTGCAGGACCACATTGTTTGGTTGCCACCTTGGTTTCTCCCTGTTCCCACCAAGAGCTCCAGAAATTTGTCCAATTTTTTCTAGTTCCCAACTCCTGGGGCTTGAGAAAGATCTGGACCGAATAGCACAGGGAGCACACTCTTTCCTCTTCCTTAAACAGAAACCGTGGGCTATGGTGGAGTTCTTTAATAAAGGGAAACCAATGTTAACTGAGCACCTACTATAGGACTATTTATGGGACACTTAATATTGGCCATTCCCATGAAATAGGTACTATAACAACCCTTTTTACAGAAGAGGAAACTGAGGTAGAGGTTCAGAGAACTTTTTTTTTTTTTAATTTTCCCCAAATCACCATTTTTACTAAGCTATGGAGTGAGAATTTGAATCCTGATCCCAAACCAAACCCCTGCGATTTGGGGGTCAGTCTCCAAAGGTCTCCTCCACTCTCAGAGCCCCTGATGGTCTCTCTCTTGACCAGAAGTAACTGACCACTGAGTTGAAAATAGCCCCTCCCTTCGCTATATTTTCACATTGGGGACCCTTCCTTTGAAAAAGAAAAAAAAAAAAAGAAAAGAAAGAAAGAAAGAAAGAAAGAAAGAAAGAAAGAAAGAAAGAAAGAA